GCATAGTTGCATGTGCAACCTTCTTATTTTGGAGTTCCCGAAATCAACAGGCAGCTGTTGAAAACATTGTGAGGTGACTTGCCTGTGCCACCGCCAGACCCAGCACGCCCGCGGCGGCAGCACGCCACTGGGTGACTCCGGAGCTCGATCCATGAGCCTGACACATGTTCGCTTCGGGTTCCCTTCGGCTTCCCTTCAGGCGTGCAAGTCCTGTGAGAGGAAGATGTGCGTTGAAGACACAGACCTGTCCACCTCCATAGACCAATAGGTGAAAGTAGGGCACTGTTCACATCCTGGCGCTCCTGAGCCTTTTGGCAGGGTGTGGGATGGCTCAAGGCCCACCTGGAGAGGCGGGGGGCCCACTTCCTTTGAACAAATCCACGCTCGAAAAACGCAAGTGGCCCGTTTGAGAACCTGAGGTCGGTGGAAGGTTGCAGATCAGCGATCGATCCCGGGAAAAACAAAAAAAAAGGGAACTGGTGGCATGAGTAATTGTCAGAAGTTTCCAGGTCAAGTGATGAATCTGAATCTCCCACATCCACACCTTGTCACTTGGTTGTTTGTAACCGCGATTTGCAATAAACCAAAAATACACCAGCATAGACCCCAGATAGCAAAATGCCAACGATTGCCCTGTGGCACCTGCACAAGAATCCCCAAATTGCATGCCACCTAGCACCCTGCCGTCGATCTCGCAAAAACACACCTGGCCGTCACCAGGCCCCCCAAAACAGCACCTGCACCAGCCGTCAATCTCGCAAAAACGCAACGCCCGTCACCACCCCGCCAAAAACCATCCGCGCCATACCCCGAACAGCACTCCCAGAGCACACGGGGCTCAAGCTCGCAAACACGCACCCTCACCATGACCAGCACCTGAAAGAGCACCCCAAACACCATCCCAAAGCAGCACATGCGCAAACACCCCAGACTGCATGCTTAGCATTTTATCGCTAATTTTGTAAAAGTGCGCCGGCACTGTCACCTGCACACCCCAAAGCACCTGCGCCAGCACCCAAACTGCATACCCTAGCACCCCCAATCCAAATAAAATGCGCCCGCGGCATCACCAGCGGCTCAAACAGCACCTACACCAGCACCCGAAACTGCATGCCCCCTAGCACCCAGCCGGCAATCTCGCAAATCACTTTCCCTTCTGTATTAGAAGTTAGAACCCCTATAGCTTGCAGCTATCTGGGGAAAAAAGACATATAGGCCCCAGTGCCATGGCGTTCGTCCATTCAAAAACCACCGCCGCTCTTTCTTCCTCCCACACGCAGAGGCGTTCCAGCAACACAGGGTATGTCTGCAGTAGGGGACCGCCAAAGCGGTTGGTCACATGTTGTTTGGCTTTCCGGGAAAAGGGAAAAGCGATATCCAAAAAAAACAGCTACATGGAAGGTCCCATTGGGTGTTCCTTAAAAAGAGGATGCGCAAAGAAGTGCTTTCTGCCTTGAACATCCAAAGAGGGTCCTTTCCTCTGTTAGTTGACACCCCCTTTGGCTCGCTTCCTCCAAACCCCCGCACCTGGCGCGCCGGCACCAGAACAGGAGCAGGGGCGCTCCTGGTCAAAGTCAAAGCACCTCAGCACACCGGTGTTGTTTCGGAAAAAAAAAGGTGGCACTGGCAATGATTAGAACCAACCTGCAACCAGTTCCATGAATCTTGAAACAAACCAACACATGGACTCACCTAAAAAGAACCCCTATGCTCAGGCATGGAGACTTGCTGAAGTTCCCGTGTCGTGACCCGGCCGGACAAAACGATGCCTGCAGATCCATTTGCCTGCACTTCGAACTTGGTGCAGAACCGAGCTCTATCACCGCATGGACTTGACTGTCTTCTGGAAAGACAGACGGTTTCCAAAACTAGTCCTTACGAGGGGAAATCGCTACATGGGCCATGCTAACCCCACACCCCGCAGGTGCAGACCCCCAGGCACCTGTTACCTCCATGGCAAGCGGAAGGAAGATGTTGCCTCACTGCGATCGGTCGGTATGCCAAGGGCTTGGTCGACGCATCTGGGCAAGCCTCTGGTGCTGGGTGCTGACACATCTATCAAATACTGGGGCAATATCCAACCGAACTCTGACAGCCGCCAGCTTCTTTCACATGCCACTTCTTGTCGCCGAGAAACGTTGGCAAGCTCAAACCCAAGGCTCAAAAGGCAACCCTTGGAAGCATTGCAAGGCAGCAACTTCCGCAAACCCATGGGCACATGGCACCCGCTTGGGAAGAAACCGGGCTGCACAAAGGCCACCAGATGGCTTGCACCGCTGTTCATGAAAGGGTCAAAAGTGGGGTGTGTCCTGACTTCGCATTGCCACTGGGAGCTCCCCCAATATCTCCATTAACTCGATCCCCAGGATGCGACTGGGAGCACCCGACGTGTTTCCAGTTGCGACCATTCCCGCCCAAGCTCGACCCTGAGCCCCCGACCGTCAGGCTGCAAGGCTGCAAGGCTGCAGGGCTGCGCGGAGGCGATGTTGAAGCCAAAGCTGCGGAGAGATGCGTTCAATGCAACCAGCTAGCGGTGATCTTGTGTCCAGGAAGCACCAAACAGAGGAGAGAGCACCTGAAGAAAAGGATCTGAAGTCGATGTTGCATAGGCTGGAAAGTGCCGATGGTACCATAGTTCTGCCTCCTGCTCCTTTGAATGGTCCAAGCAAGTAAAGCCCTGGCAACCCATACTTAAGTGCATCGATCATACTTGAGTCGATCGGGTTGACAAAGCCATGCTATTATATCTCAACCACAAACAGTCCAAGACGCAAAGCCGCAAGTCGTGGTGGTGTATCGGTACAGTGGGTTTCCGTGCCACTGGTTGCATTGTACAGCAGCATTTTTTTGAGCAGCCTGCCATGTGTCTTCTTGTTGGCACTGGCGTGGCAGTCTGCAGTGCACACGTCAAACAAACCCGTGCTGTTGCTATCTGAAGTCTCCTCAAACAAAGAGATAACAATGGCACCGCTGCATACTCGTTGTGATGTTGACGGCATCGTATCGTTAATGGGAGAAATGCTCATAAGCGATTCGTGACCAAACTGCCGGTATTTGCCCGCTGCATACATCCGAGCGCTGGGCGGAGTGATGTCAGTTCCGCCTCCGAACCACCACACGCCGTTCTCCTCGGGAGGCGAGTTGGCGGGGCACCAACTGCGCCGGAGGTGCAAGACTCATTGCGTCACGGATTGCAGCTCTGGCAACATGTTCTTGACGAGGCCCTGCAAAGTGCTTCTAAACTTGCCCGGTGCTTGCCAGTCCCATTGACATGGTACTCCAGCCATGGGTACTCTATAATTTGACTAGTGAATTGGTACGGCGGCAAGGATGCCATACAGCGCACCCTGATTTTGACACACGCAAGCCAGCGCTCCGTCTCGAAGTAGCGATAGTTGAAATGCATCGTTGGGCAGAACGGGTTCTTCGGGTGCATCACCTTGGAACGAAAAACGTGAGTTCGACGAACTCATCAGCCGAGCTGCAGCTTAAACGCGTCGGCGTTTTTTGCTCTAAGGGTTGTAAAGGGAACCCAAAAGGAACACCACGATTTTGGAGAGGTCCCCTTTTGAAAGACACACCCAAATTGGCCTGTCTTCCAAACCCGGCTCGCCAGATACGTCCAAACCCGAGTCAGACTCTCCGGGTCCAAGATCTCGCGGATCTGGGGAGTGCACCGAGGAGAGGCCGCAGGCAAAGAAAGGGACCTAGATCCCAGGTGCCGAGTCAGACTTGGGTCAAAATTGTTGACCCCAAAAACGGCTTGCCCGATCGGTAAACAGAAGGGACAAAAACCTGCGATCCTAAGTGGCAAAAAACATGTGTGCCCTTTAGTTTTGACCCATACCCACTCGTCAACGTCAACCTGGTGAAAGCTCAAAATGGAGGCACCACGTCTCGTGGTGTGTTGTGAAGATGTGCTTGCAATGGACATCTCTCGCTCAAATCGAGCCAGTGGCTCACGCTGAATCTGCTCCAAGCTCTTGCGTCAGCATGTCAGGGAAAAGCAATCAGAGGGTCTACACGCCAGTTTGTTGTAGTTCCTCCCCTTTCGTTTCCAATTTTTTGCCTCAATGACTCCCCCGAAAATCAACTTGGAAGCACAGAAAAGGGGATAGCTTGTCCCAAAGGCATTTGCTCCACTTCGATTTCGGTGTTTGATTTTTCTTTTTGGAGGGACCTCTCAACACACAGGGGGTCCTTCTCGTCGCTTTGGGGTCCAAAGCGGGTCCCAACCCAGACCCATTCCCCAAAAGGGGTTTGGCTTTCTGGGTGGTTTTGGGGGGGCTCCTTACGGAATTGCATCCCGGCCCTGGAAAAGAGACACAAAAGCAAAAGGGTCCTAAGGCCCGGAGCAACCCAAGAGCTTGGTGCTTTAAATCCGGGTGTCTGATGCGTGTTTTTTTGTTTGACCCCCCAAAAATGGTGGTTTTCCTTTTGGCTTCCTTTCAAACCACAAAAAAAAGGGTACCGAAAAACAAAGAAGACATGAGTCACAATCAAAACCTGGTACAAAAATGGTGAACCCAGAACCATGTCAAGAATTAGAAAGGCGGCCGCAACTATTTCCGGCTGGGACTGCCCCTTGCTAACCTTCATCTACCCGGGCTTTGATTGTGGCTCACACACCCCATGTCCCGCCTTCTCCCCGGGCTTCAGCTTGCCGCCGGCCCGGTCCACGCCCCGCTCCGTCGCCGCCTGCAGCGCCTCCTGCGGTTCGGCGGCTCCGTCGGTCGCGAGGACCCCGTTTTGCGGGGCCTCATTTTAAGACACACCCAGGGAGACCCCACGCTTGGTGCCTAAGACTGTTTACCTCCAGGGACCCTTTGGTGGGTTCCATGTTAGTCGACAGGAGAGCAGTCCTTTTGGCTTGCCTCTCCAAGGTGACGCAAACACAGAAGTGCACAAGGCTCTTTTCCAAGAGAACCGTAGTCTTGAAACCGGTTCTGTGCACTGCCCATTGTGTTGGTGGGAGGGTAAAGTTGGTTGATGGCTGCAAGGACAACCCAAAATTCACAATATCAAGTACAAAAACACTCTGAAACGCAATCCTCCAACACAAATTAAACTGGAACCTCTCTCTCTCTCACACGCCTCGCCCGTCCGGACGCTTCGCGAATCATGGAGGCAGACCGCACCGGTCCGGCAGCTTTAAGCTGCAGTGCTCAGTTGGCACCCCCCTCTCCCACATGAGCATGTCTGCTCCGGTACGTGTACCCTAGCAAGCAGCTCAAATACAAAAAGGCCCCTGTGTGAAACAATCATGAACAATATAAGTCGGCACTTGTTGCACACTTGCTGTGACCGCTGCGCAGGGCCGCCCCGTAGAGCCTAGCACCCCTTGCCGGTTACAGACACCCAATGCACGCAAGGCATCATGGGGCTGTTGGAGGCAACCCACTTATGAAAGCATCAGATCTGGTGAGGCCTATCACATAGCTATTGTGAGCAAGCTGTTGCAAGTTGTGTTGGTTAGCAAGTGCTGGGAAGCTCTCATGATCAGCCAAAAAGTACACCCACTGCCGCAGCGGGTGGTATCCACTCAGAAAAGTACGATAATGACCTGAAGAGAGACTGGGCCCCACATGCTCAATCACAAAACTGACTTGGTATTCAGCCCACTGAGCTTGCAACTCAATACCAGCAAAGACTGGCAAGCACACAGTCATTCCGGCCTGAATGTTCAATGGCTGCGTTTGCTTGCGTGGCCCATATTAAACTGGAACCCCGAAACCAGGCATTGCAAAAACCCTTGTTCTCTCAGAGAGTTTTTCAAACGACCGGTCAGCGACTCAGAAGGCTGTCCTGAGGCATTTCCCCATAGACCACGCTGAGGTTGACGCCCGCCTGACCATCGTCTGCTCAGACGAGCCCTACGTATCCATGTGCTGCTGGGAGTTCATGGTTGGCATCGCACAAGCCCCCGAGGTCCCTACACGTGATTAGATTCGTTTTATTTTGGGTTTTTTGTTGATTTCTTTTTTCGTTTTTCGTCCGGGCCAGTAAAATGTCGTATGTTACAGCATTTTCTCGCAAAATTGGAGTGTTTTACACCAGCCCGTCAACATCCCCAGCATCGTTTTCAACATCCCCCGCCTGTCCGACCAACATCCCTAGCATCACCAACAAAACGTGGGCAACAAAATCTAAAGAGTAGCTGGCGGGTTGACGGGGTCTAAAAAATGATGATTCAAATAAGTAGCAGAGGGGGGTTGCGGGGGGGCGGCAACCCCCCCCCCTTGATGTTCGCAGAAGTGATGATTCAACTAGGGGTGCAATTAAATCTATATAGAAAATCTGAAAAGTAGCGGGGGGGGGTTGGGGGGGGGGGCGGCAGCCCCCCCCCATGATGTTCGAAGAAGTGATGATTCAAATAGGGGTGCAATTAAATCTCTGTAGAAAATCTGAAAAGTAGCGGGAGGGTGGGGGGGGGGGGGGTGATGTTCGAAGAAGTGATGATTCAAATAGGGGTGCAATGATTCAAGAAAGGGTGCGATAGAATATAAAAAGCAGCGGGAGGGTTGGCGGGGGTGGCTTCCCCTCTGATTTCGAAGAAGTGCATACATACAAACATACATAGATTACATAGATTACATAGATTACATAGATTACATAGATTACATAGATGACATAGATTGCATAGATTGCATAGATTACATAGATTACATAACAATATCGTATTTTACAGCATTTTCTCGCGAAATTGGATGCTCGAAAAAGTGATGAACCAAATAGGGATGCAATTGAATATCTCTGCAAGAAATCTGAAAAGTAGCGGGGGTTCGGGCGGAGGCGGCAGCCCCCGCCCATGATGTTGGAAGAAGTGATGATTCAAATAGGGGTGCCATCAAATCTTTGCAAGCAATCCAAGAAGTTGCGGGGGGTTGGGGGGGCGGCAACCCCCCCTTGATGTTCGAAGAAGTGATGATTCAAATAGGGAGGGACTGGTGATGCTGAGAATGCGGGAAGCCGGAGAGGAACTGGGAAAGCAGAGGATGCGAAAAGCCAAAACCGGGAAAGCAGAGGATGCGAAAAGCCAAAACCCCCAAAAGCCGCATAAACCAGCGAAAAGCTGCAAACGCCACCTGGTTTGAACTGGGAATGCAGTGGATGCGAAAAGCCAAAGCCAAAAAGCCACCAAAGCCGCGTAAACCAACAAGAAGCCAAAAAGCCAAAAGCCAAGAAGCCAAGAATTCGAAAAGCCAAGAAGACGAAAAGCCAAGAAGCCGAAAAGTCAAGAAGCCGAAAAGCCAAGAAGCCACGAAGCCAAAAGCGAGGAAAAAACAACTCCTTGGAATAATTTTGCGCTGGCTTCATGCGCATCCGGTTCACTTCACTTGTGAGAGCGTGCGCCTTCTCGAAGACGTTGCCATCAGTGAGCACTCGAGCAACTCCACCTCCACCACTCGCTCTGGTGTACGGCTCCCTGCAAAACTTTGCCTTAGTGAGCAGCAAACTGACGCCTCGCTTGAGGCGCCGCTGGGTTGGGCACATACCATC